CTCCAGACGAGCTATATTCCGTATTTCTACCAATTCAGAACGTTTATTTTGACTAAAACTGCTCTCCAAAAGTATGTTCCTGATATCAAATGGAGCCTTGTTTATTTGACTCAAACACCAAAAGGTTTAGTTTTCAATTTATCTACTGGTACAAAAGTCTCACCCTTATCATGATGACTTGCTTCCATACTGCTAAACTTCAAATAGACATGGCATTACCTTGTTTCATTGGTCCTACTTTTGGTAATTTGGCACTATAGATCCCAATCGACCAATCACATTCTCTCAATGCCAAAAGAACTTGCCCCAAAACGTTGTCAGATGAAGTTTACTGTCCTCAGGTAAATGTGTCAATATCTACCACGCCATATACACGGACGTATCTATATATCATCATGGTTTACATAGAACTCAACACTGTTTGATGACTAGAACTTTCACGGTGATCCTCTCTTCCCAACACTGACTACTCATTCTTGCGACAAATTTGACTCAATATAATTTATTTTAATTATTAATAATCATATATGGATGAGTGAGAGAAGTAAAAATGTAGGAAGAGGTTTTATTTCTCTTAGTTTTCTACGGTTTATCAACCCTTGGCAGGTTATTTAAAGCCAGAAAATATAGCTTATCTCAAAATGATGGGACACATTTGCAAGTAACTTGGATTATAAAAATGATATAGATTACCAAAATATTTTTATTGCATAAATGATATACAAGAGTTCAACGTATTATCATAGAATTGGATATTACATCCATGACATGGTCAGCACCTCGAAGTGAACATGCACGAGCTCGCTCTCTCATTTCAAAGTCACGCCATGAGAGGTCCATGATTAACAATTGATTATGAGCGTTCATGATTATGACAGTCCATCGTCAACAAAAGGTGTATCAGATATTTATGGGAAATAGCGGAATCTTAGATATGTTGAACTCTTGTATCTCAGTTACGTAATAGATATATTTGTTATTCTATGTTATTTTTATAATCCAAGATTCTTGCTGTATTCC